TTAATGATTCTATGATTCTATGATATAGACAGTCTTCTACTTGGAGTGACAGTCACCAAGCCCTTCAAATGGCTAAGTGACTATTAGGTACGCGCATATCTCCCCCAAAACTTAAATTTCCTTCTTAAAATGTACCAATATGTGATTCTTCCACATTTCAAGAAATTTTAGATTTTAAGCTCCCACACAGACAGTGCTGAAGAGGACACAAAATGAGGATATAGTAACACAGTACAATTGGAAAGCACACATTACTTCGTAAGATACTCTGTTTAGCAGTCTGATCCATTCCAGGTGATTAAACAAACTGTAAAAGAAATCAAGTACTATTATGACCTCAGCCTGAGAAAATTCTTTCCCTTCTGTTAAAGCAAGTGCCTCATACAGATGTAAGATGCATTCTAATCCTTTTTTTTTTAAGAAGAATTTATGAAATTCAAGTGATTCCTGAATGGTTTGTTCACCCATTGCAGTATATGGATTTTTTTTTTTACATTTTGGAAAAACAATCTACTGGTATTTTTAATGTAGAGGCTTACGGGTACATGGACTTTTCTAAACATTTCAGCTCCTTTGCGTGCATCCAATAAAGCCACGTCTTGCGGAGTGGAGATGATCACAGCTCCTGGGAAAAGAAAACATGAAATACCATTAAAATGTGTATTATTAATTATACTGTTAAATATTTTGACTATTTAGTACATGCTACTAAATTCAAAGTAGTCACACACTTATATGTTTTTGTTTTGGTTTTTTTTGTTTTAATTTAAGGAAGAAAATTATGCTCGTTTTTTTATTATGCAATAACCAAAATCACTGAGATATGATATGGAGTGATAGAAAAAATTTAGGTATTTTCATCACAAGTTTTTCTATGTAGAAACCATTTATATTTTCTAAATGAGAAAATTGATCTAGTTGTCATATGACCGTGGATACAAGACAACATAGTCCACACGCTGACAGGTTGCAGAGGTGGTACGCTGAGAATACACAGTAACCGTCCCATGCCATAATTACATTTTAAAGCTTTTGATTTAACAATGAGCCTTGTCCTAAGATCAAGAGGTAGCTGCCTGTAATCAGACTGTTGCTTTCTGAACTTGTTACACTTTCCGACACAAGCATTGACAAGCACCATCTTGAAACACGTTACACTAGATGCAACACCAGTGTGTTTGTAAGAATGATACCACAAAATAAGAGGCCAACTCACGCACACCTGCGCTAGGTTTGAAAAAAGTATAGTCACTGGTCAGACATGGCTTCAGGTTACCTGATAATTAGTACTCCCAAGAGTTCTTAAACATATAAAACAGCTGGAGCTCTTTGTCAAAGGTTAGATTCTAAAGGTTACTATCCTATACTACCCTGTATTACTTCTTGATTAATAAAGCCTGCAAAACCAATACAGACATAATATTCCACACCACTTCACAAAGAGCATCTTTTTGCATATGCTCAGGGGTTTCAAATATTATTTCTTTGAAACTTGCATCAAGAATCTGCTCATGCTCGTCCCTATTTTAGAAAAATGCAATGTAAAAAAGGACATTACTGGTCAATTGCTTAGCTCTGGTTTGACAGCAACCATCTAGTCTCCAAAATATCTGTTATAAAAACATCTCTGCAGAGCCATGTGAAGCCAATCTTGCACAAGAAATTTATGCCAAACTTCACACGAATAGCAATTACCACAGACAGTTTTAGATGCATAGGACAGAGTTTCCTACTGGGCCTGCAGTTCCCAACCCTGGGCGCACACGGCAAAGGAAGAGGTGGGTAGATTTCCAGAGGCACACAACACTGGCATGGCTGGCACTGGGAGCCTTGGCGTCCTGAGAGCCCTCCCGGCTCTGGCAGCGCTGGGACTGGGAGCCCTGCCCCTCACAACGGCCCCACGCCAGCTGCCGGCTGGCATCTTGCCTGCGTGACAGCCAGCCGTTTCCAAACACCGCCTGACAGCACGTTTGAGTGTTTTCAACCAGCGTTCTTAACCTCTAATTTGTGAAAGAAAAATACAATCTGGCACCTCGCTTCCTGAAAAGCTGCCAATCTCTGCCTTACACAGTGTTAGACACAAGTCCAAAAAGTGAATGGCATATGTAATGTACTAAGCAAACGCAATTTCCCTATTGTTTGCTGAAACTCTGGCATCTGAATAATTTGCTATTTTTCCCAAGCCAACGTGCTTCCAATGGCATCACAAAGAATAAGGTGGAAGCCTTTCAGCTACATCCAAGTCACCTTAGCTCCTCGTTTCACTGAAGTGTAGCGTAACGTTTTGCAGCTGACGTTGAAACGCAGGGCTAATTCCACAGAACGAAAGCACCCTTCCCTAAAAGCACAGTCCACAAATAAGTAATTTAGACTCAATATCCTTGAGTTTTCTGTATATTTGTGAAATAAAGATCTTTCAATACTTGGACATAATGCTTATTACTGCCTTCTTTGCAAACAAAACTAGAAATTTTTGTCTTATATGTATACACTTATGTTAGTTGCTTCACACTTTTGTTCACACTCTTCTCTGAAGATGCTGGCTCAGCATTCCCTCAGTCTTCAGGTAGAAGCTAATACGTAGTCAACAAAACTGAAGTCTACATTTTCTGGCCCATTATTCGTTTTTTTAAGAATCCAATAATTGGCATGGCACGAAGGTCAGAGGCTATGCACAATGAAAACACCCACTAGAACCACAAGCAGCTTCTCTGAGAGATATTTTTGACTAACAAATTCTGTTGCTAGAGAACATCACCCAAAGGGAAAAAGCTAAAATGCCAAAAAGACCCAATGGCACACTGCAGAGTTTAGGCCACAGACACCAACTCCCTGTACAAAAAGTTCTGGCTTCTGAAATACATGAGTTAAAATTATGCTCGTGGACAGCTTGCATGTTCCACAGAATGAAAGCCAACATGCTCAAGAAGCTGCTGCTGAGGGTGTAATAGATGTGTCTCCTATTTTCCTTTTCACTCTGAGCTGGATTACAGGCAAAATTTATTCACAGCCAGCTTGTACTGAATTATACCAACGCCCTTTAAAATAAGTATCTTTTCTCTTTGTTTGGTACAACTGCTAGTCCAGCAAACCCAACCTGAAGTTCAAGAATTCAAATTATTGGCAGCATTATTTCCTTCAGTAGCAACCGAATATGGCAAATGAGACTTTTCATGGTGCTCCCCTCCCTGAACAAGTTTGCATATGTTTAATTCAGAAATCGATTCAAATGATAAGCAAGAAAGAACACAGCCCACACTTTCTTTGCAATCTTGGCTCTACGTGGTTAACAGGAATATCAAACAGTAAAGCGTTATTTTGGTCAATAAAGTAATGAAATATGGCTGAATTCATGCACATAGCACATCTCTTGAAGCAATACGTGCAATGTTTACACAAGCCTCTGTCTGAATGACGCAAACTAATGCTGACAAATTGAACAGAGAAGCTGCAGAAACTATAATGCTATCACATTGCACATTAAAATATACTACAAATTCTATGTTTGCAGTTATGTGCAGAAGAATAATTTCTGTGCCTTGAGCATACTAAGGATAACTAAGTTGAGCACATTTAGGTTTAACTGACATATCTACTTATTCATGCATTCCATTTATTTCTGTAACTTCACCGTGTTTCAGTTGACAAAAGCTGATGCATGTTGCAATAGTAAAAACTATGCTAACTATATTTTTAATCCTTAGCATCCATAATTATGGAGACAGAACTAACAGTAGCCTGTAACACTGATGTTTGTCTTTCTTTTTTAATCCCAGGTACTTGATCCTGAGTAAAAGACAGGTGTGCCTACACAGCACATTAGTACTTACGCTTCTGGTGGACTGGTGTTCAGGAAATTACAAGCCTGTAATTTCTGTGTATAGAAAATGTCACCTATATTCACTGCATCATTAAGGTTTGCATCCGGGTTACAAGGCATAAGGTGGAATCTCTCCAAGCCTTAGCTATAGTCAATTTGTACCCAAGCAAAAACCAGGCAGGTCTAAAAAGCAGCTGACAAGCAGAAGTTTATGTGGTCTACCTTAGGATGAAAAGGATCTCTCTAACATAGTCTTTTTTACCTCCAGTGTCTTCAAAGGCAGACTTGAGAACCAGGCTACATGCATCTCATCCAGGCAGATGATTAAGGACACCTCCACACATAGGTATTAGACTGTGTCTGATATCACCCTGATTCTCATTAACTTAGCAAATAATGCCACCCCAAAACCTGTGGAGTGAAGTGTAACTGACCAGAAAGACTGACAGAGTTCTGGAGGATAAAGACAGAGAAAGATACTGCATTTTTCTAATAATTGCATCTGCTGACTGCCAGGCATTGAACGCTCTTGCAAGGAACCACATTAAGGACCTCAAGGCAGCTGTGGATGGCCTGATCTGACCACACCACTTACGCATTTTTTTGCTACCTTTTCCACTGCATCAATTCCAAACTTCTAGGCAAGACTTTCAATTTATAAACAGCCTGGGTGAATCTCAATCTTCTCTACTGTGGATCTCTTCAGAGTCCTTCTCACCTTCTGTTAAATTTCTTGTTACTTCATAGGTAAAAGGTGCCTGCAATTACAGATACGGTTTGTACTCGAAGATGCAGAACAAGGTCTTGCAAGAAGAAAGACTTCTGTCTGCTAGAATTTCAGCTGGCGATGATTACAGATACATTAACGTATAAAAGATGTCCATCTCCTTGGATAAAACTCGTGAAGACGTTCCTTTAGCTTTTGTGTCTGACATCTCATTACAACTAGCAACTTAAAAGAATCACTAGTGTGATTTTCCCTTAAGGGATCCTTACTTGAGACTCATAATATAGCTCAGAACTATCCCAAAGGCTGGATCTTGTCTGTTTCACACCTCCAGCCTGCTCACTACCTTCTTGGAGGAGGAGTCTTTGAACAACTGTTCAAACTGTATGTTTCCAACAGCCACACATCCTCTTCTGCCCAGAACTAGCGGGTAATTAGAGACCGGGGCACTACCGCCTTGCCCACATGAAAAGAGAACTTAAATCTTAGAGCAAGCTCCTTCCTCCTGGCAAGAGGAACTGACAGTGAAGCCGCTGAGCAGAGGAATATCACAAGCTGGATAAAGCCGTCACCCTGAGGTTAAACTGCCCTCATCCAACTGATCAGTAAGTATCATAACATCCATTTCACGCTGGATCACATGGAGAAAGACATGGAAAGAAAACTCTCGCTGTGTTAAAATGTTTGGGTTTCGTCCTGGCAAACTGAATACATATGTCACACTAATGCAATTTACAATGCAATCTTTATTTAGCAAAGTGAAAACACTGAAAACATTTGTAATAACATCTGTGAACAAGCATTATTTGCAAAGTAGAGGCATAAAATAAAAAGGCTCTCCCTCACAGACACTTTGCCACTTTCCACTTTTCCTTAGCTATCTAAATTAGCATTTTTCTGCTCTACTCCATTCCACCTCCTGCTTTCAAGGGCATTTGCCAATCATGTCCAGATTATAATGAGCATTGTACTAGGCAAGAGCAAAGTCCAAACAGTCTCTTTTGACAAATGAGTATGTGGGGTTTTTTTAATGAGAGGTCCTAATCCAAAGAGGAGAACTAGGTAAAAGAATGATTCT